TTGTAAAAATGTCCCAGGGTATTTCTAGAAGATAACGTTTTTAAAGCAAGCAATCTTTGTAATCACAGTGCTCAAAATCAAGAGACAGAGCATTAATAGTAATAAATAAAATTAAATGTTCACTTATCTTTTTCTTATTCTGAATTATTGAGATTAGAGGTTATACTCATTCATTAGGTGACTTGATTTTAAAACTGACAGTCACTATGCTGTGTTGATTTCTATGTCCATTATATATATTCAATAAATTAATAAATGCTCAAACAACTTATATCTTGACACTCCAGAATTTCATACACCACTGCTCAGCAGGGTCAGGAGGTTTGACAACTCTAAGGATGAGCAGTGTTATGCGACTCTAGGATTGGTCAACTGATAAGTTCCTTAACATTTATTAATTTATTGTATATTGTTGCCCGAGTTATCTATTGGACATTTCCTTGACAAAAAGTAACATTAGATTATGTTAAATTCTAGTAATTTTTATCTATTTTGATATGTATTATCGATTTGTATTACTATATAATACCAATATAGGCAAACACTGATGCTTGTAAATGCAGAGTACTATAATTTAAAAATTTCATAAAAATATTATATAAAAAAAAAGAGAGAGAAAAAATACTTTTTGCTATAAAGCATCATATCTGGATGAATTTAATGATTTATTAATGTAGACTTCAGAAATGCATATCAAATTCTTAAAAAATAATTCTGCAGCTCATTTGTAAACAGTGCAAAATGTACAAAATTGTTCAAATTTAATTACAGATACAAGATGTTGAAAAGTTCTTAGCCAAGCAAGAATGGATTAAAAAATATATATATATATATATATATATAATGATGAAGTTTGGTCATTTAGTCAAATTTTTGGAAATGAATCAAACTAAAAACTTTTCAGCATCCCCTCTTTGTTCTTAGTGTTCCTTGATTAGGGAATTATTAATTATTAATAATAATAGTAATAACAGAATAAAATGACAAATAATAGAAATTTTTTTTTTTTTTTAAATTTTCTTCTCCATAGATTTTTTATTTAAAAAAAAGTTCATGAGACAAATGCATATTTTCTTTTTTTTTTTTTTTTTTAAATTCCTTACATGGAGTTTGTTTTGTAGACAAAATTTTCATTGGAAAATTTCCAATTAACACAAAATGATGTCATATGAAGGTGGAAGAACAAAGTATAGGAGTTCATTTGTAATTAAATTTCCCTTATAATTTCTTAATTCCATAATTGTTCTTTGTCTTTTTGTCATGTAACAATTTTTCAGTAAGTAAAAAGGAATGTATAATCAAAGAGTCATAAAAATATTTTAGTATTTTCCTTTTCATTAGCAAAAGTGAGTTCATTGATTGTCAATGAAAACTTGTACACAAATATTAAGTTCTCATAGGATGGTGGAATAATAAAGCCCATTTAAAAAAAAAAAAAAAAATTGTTAAGGCTTTCTCTCTGCAGTATAAATCAAACAACTGCATAAATCAAAATAGCAGTAATAAAAATAAGCTTTAATATCAAAGTTGTCAATTTTGTTAGTCAAAAGCAAGCAGTCATTTATTGTGATGAGACATCAAAGTGTTCTCATTTGTAAAAAAAAAAAAAAAGTCTGAATAGGCAGCTTTCTAACATAAGTTACAGAAAATAACAAAAGTATTAAATATCCTTTTATGTTGTGGAAAAAAAAGGGAAATGAACACTTTTAACCAATATTTTTTGGCTAGTCTTTCTTCCATCTAGATTTCAAGTGCTTTTTAGTGGAACCACGTAGTTGTGATGAAAAGGAACAATAATTAAGATAAAAGAAAGACTAGTCAAAAGTGAATGGTTGATAATGTATCATTAAATAATGATTATGAAGAAAAAATATTTTTACTATTCTTTAAAAATGACTAAACTGTACTTACACAAAATGGAAGTTTTTCACAATACAATCAGTATTAACCAACTGACAATTGGTAAAACTTTCATATATTTATATGTGCAATATATCATGTGAGTTTCAGCTTATAATCTCTATTTTTATTAAAAATATTAACTTATTTTGGGGGTGTCAGATTTTATTATGCAAGTGTAGCATGAATTTTTATTCATAAATCCAACATATAGGCTATTTGATTAACAAAATATCTTAGATACTTGAATAAATTATTATTTTATATGTTAATATAAGTTTTGTTTCTACAGGGTACAATGGGTAAATTGCTGCCATTTAATGTAGCTCTACATTCATCATTAAATTTACTATTAAGAAATCAGTTTTTATATACTTCTTTACTTTGTGATGTTTACTTAAAGGTTGTAGTTTGGTTGCTTCCATATCTTCAGCTAATGTTCTTAATATTCTGAATATTTTTTGGTGACTTTCAAGACACCAGTTTTTTCAAATATTTTCTTGCTGGTCAATCTATTTTTCTTGCTTATTCACCTTTTAATTTTTGTCAGATCTTTTTCTGATATTCTTAGAGGTAATCTTTTTTTTTTCTTATTGTGCTAAGGCTTACAATTTCTCTTATTTGTTTGTCATCTGTTCAACAATTTTGCCAGGATTTTCAAGGTTTTGTTTCTACAGGGTGTTATGGGTAAATTTTCACCATTTTATATTTTTAATATTGTGCATGTGCATTGTTTGTTTTTGATTTTGTTGGCTACAAAGTATAGTAGGGTCAGTTGGGCACTGTAAGAAAAAGAGCACCATGACACAATTTATTCTCTCAAAAATTTGGAAACAGCATGCTTGGCATTCACAATAGTAGTTCCAATACAAACATTTCAGAGTGTTTGCGTACCAAACATAAGACAATGTAGAGGATTTGGAAAGAGTTGGATGAGTCTGATAATGATTACGAAGGCACAGCAGCTTGGAAAACTCACAGATTGTTCTGATAAAAGAAATCCTGATTTTGTTGGCGGGGGAGGGGCTCAGACTCAACATGGAGGCCTACATCAAGTACCTTGAGGAGGTAGTGCTGCCCTGAGTCAAGAAGGTGCTGCTGGAAGTCATGGCTGTCAGACAATTTCTGTGACCACATCACTCCTTACATCTGACTAGACTACAACCCCCTTGATTATTATGTGTAGGGTGCAGTTGAACAAGAGAGCAACAAAATTCTTTGTAACACCAAAGATGAACTGAAGGCAAAGTTTGTGGCAGCATTCACCAACTTAAACAAGATCATCCAGAAGAGTTGTAGGAGATTCCAAAGTTGTCTGGAAGCCATGGGTGAAGCCAATGGTGATTTTATTGAATAAATTTACTCTTTAGTATTTCAAGATATTTTTGTATAATTTTGGTAAATATATCTGTTAAAATAAGATGTCAGTATTATTTTCATTTTTGTGTAATTTAGACGACAATTTATCCATCGCATCCTCTATAAACCAATAACTTTACAATGTTTTTTTTTTCTGTCGAGGTTATATCTTTCTTACAACCCATGGTAGTCTTTACAGATCTGAAATTAATAAATTTCAATAACTATTACTATTATATATTATATATATATATATATATATATATATATATAAATATATATATATATTGCATAATAAAATCTCACACATAAATAATTCTAAATAAAACATTAGAAGCTAAAATTTGCATATTAATATAACCTGAAGTCTTTTGCCAACATTGGTTAGTCAATACCAACTTTATAATGAAAACATTAACTTGCATAATAAAATCTGACACTGTAGAATTATGTAGTGATAGTTAGAAATGAAAATAGAGAAAATGGTTAATGAAAATAAACATCTTAAATAAGGAACACAGAAGAAATTTTAATGTGAGAAAGTCATAAAAAATTGTTCACAAAGCTATTTGAATATTATTATAGTCCATTTGTCTAACCTGGATTTTTATCAATATAACATTTGCGTTTATGACGTAACAGGCTGATCTTGTTGAAGAAGGTGTGTCCACAACTTGTACACTCATGGGGCTTGCACATGTAGTGAATGTTCATGTGGTCTCGTAAATGCTGAGGACGTGTAAAACGTTTACCACAAATGCAGCATATAAACTTATCATTTGTGCGATCATGGACATCTTTCTGGTGTTCATTTAGCGATGATTTTCGAGTGAAATATTTTCCACAAGTGGTACACCTGAATTTGGGATTGTATTTAGCATTTCTCTGTTTGCCATAAACAAAGCTTTCATTGTCAACAGTCAGGTCAATAGAATCAACTGCCTTGGCATTGGGTAAAGCTCTACGAGAAGAGAGCAAATTTTCTATTTTCTTATTTGATTCTGTTGATATACATGGAGAAAATTGGATCAGAGACTTTTTGTGCCTAGAGGGGTACATTGCAGATTTTAAAGATGATCTTTGAGATAGTTTCAGATTGGAGTCCACCTTTTGCGTAGGCAAAGAAGGCAGTTTAATAATACTGGGTGCAACTAAAGGCTGGATTAAATCTAATGATTTTAAATCAAGTGACTTAGCCAAAGTAATATCCTTGTTTGTGCTTCTAAAATGATCCATAGAGTGGACATTGGGCTTGGGAGGAATAGTCTCTTCTGATTGGTCATTTATCAGTGGTGATTCAGTGGTTGGTATAAAATCTGAATTCTTTGCATTGAGATTCATTGCTTTCTGGTAGGATATTCGTAGGGCTTTATTTAGTGTCTTTCTGAAGACTTTTAATGAGGGGCTAGATGTCTTTCGAATCAATGGTTGCCGGTTTGTATTCCCCAGCAAGGTATGAGGGTCAGGTTTGAAATCAGAAAGTGATAAATGTGATTTAAGTGCTTGAGCATTTGACAAAATTGTCTGGGGTGAGTTGGAGTGAAATGAATTTGATGGAAAAGACTTTGGATGTTTATTTTTTTGGGAGTCTTGGAGGGAATGAGGCAGGTGTATATCAGATGTTGCAGCTTCAGTGTCTGAAACAGGTTCTTTCTTAGTAATTATTTGGTCAACAAACCTCACCCCATTGACAACCGATCCAACTGACGAGATGTCTATATGATCAGTGAAGTGTTTCACACTGTTAATAGGTTCCATTTTGGTTGTGCCTCTGTCAACAAACTGTCCCACACTACCAACAGGAATTTTCATGTCTATAAGAGAAGAAAATGTGTAAGTAATTGGTGCCAACTTTAGGTGTTAAGTGAAGGATAATTCTTTTTAAATGAAAGTTTTTAGATTTAATTTCAGAATTCTGCCTCAGATATAAAGTTCAAAGGGAATTTAAGGAGAGGGAAGAAGTCAGTAAGAAATATTTAATAAGCAATTTACATTAAATTAATATTAAAATTAATTCAGAAAAGATACAAGTATTATTCATGCATTTGATAAAATTCTAAAAAATGGCTGGTTTTATGAAGTTGCAAAGGTCAGGTAACTGTAGGACTCTACTTTGGAATTGGCTTCTATCAATAAATAGTGCAAAGAACTGATTTATTGGTCAAGAAGTGAAATTTTTAAAATATGCTCATGTAATTTTTCATTTTTGATTCAGAGAGACTAAATAACTTGGCCAGTTGACATTTTCCTTGAATTTGAGTGATTGACAATTCTTGCAAATCAATTACTTTGACAATTTTTAAAATAAAAACAGACAAACTTTGTGACTTAAAATATTTGTCATCTGAGTTATTGATTATATGACTTAACAGTCATAAGTTGACAAACTTTTCATTAAGACAATCTTCTAATCAAAAGAGCATGAGTCTTGGTCACACTCCTAAAGTACATTTAGTTCATAGATTGAATGGAAATTGTTTTTATGAACATTGTAATTAGATAAGTAAACAGGGAATATGTCTTTTAATGCAGCTAAGATTTAATATGTTATAAGGTTTTAAGTATTCAGTAGGGGGAAAAACTGATTTCAGTCTAGTTAAACAAACCAAAACAAAATATATAACAAACAAACAACACTTTTACAAGAACAGTGCTTGATGTAAAATATAAAAAATACACAAGCAAAGCTAATCTAATATATACAAGAAAAAAAAAATGATCAGATGTTACTACCTTTCTCTGACTTAGTTGGCTTGCAATCTTCAGGTGATAGGTCACCATATTTCTTGTAGATTCACACAAAAAACAAAATATTCACCTACTTAGTGGTCATTTAAGTTGGGGGGGGGGTGATAGAAGAAGGAACAAGGGAGTGCAATTTGGACAAAGCACTTAGGATACCATAGCCTATTTCTTTTTGGCAAAATGGTTGGTTAAGGTGGACAAAATCCAGTGCAGATAAAAAGAGGAATTTAATTATTTTATTTTGTTTATTCCACACTTGATTGTATTTATAAGTGTATTCATTTTTGAATAGGTAAATGTATATTTTGGCTTGTAATTATCTTTATGAAAAATCTGACCAAAATTTGAACTTTTTTCTTGGTATGTAACTCAATTCATAATATGGAAATGAGCATCATACTCAATTCCATAATACAGAATTGAGTATCTTGTCATTTGTATTGCCTGAAGATTGTGAGACAGCTACTTAACTACCTAGGTACCCACATGAAACTAAGTCATGGAAAGACAGTAATATCTGAGTATTATTCTTCATTATATATATATATATATATATATATATATATATATATATATGTGTGTGTGTGTGTGTGTCATCCACATACAAGCCTGTTTTGCTATATCATATTTCATCAGTGTGACTAAACATCCAATTGCTTCAAGTTGGGATTGAAACTTGACTGATTTGGCATCAGTCAGAGATTCTACTCCTAAGCTATTGGTGCAAGGCAGAGAAAGGGAATCTTAATGTATTATATATGTGATGTATACAAATGCCAAATCAGTAACCAAGAGCGCTCAATTCATAACTGAAGAGTGATATGTTAATAGCAGTATATATATATATATATATATATATATATATATATATATATAGATATTATACTAACTTGAAAGGTATATCTTAAGTCAACTGTAAATCATTGAGATTATAAAAAATATGTAATAACAGTCCAAACAGTAGAGCAATACTTAATAGACATATAGTTAAGTACTTGTATGTCTCACTAAAGCAACAATCAATAATACAATACACAAGAGAAAAAGTTAAAAAAAAAAAAAAATTGAAATAAAAAATTGAAATTATGAAGCAGGTTTTGTGTATTTTGGGTAAAACTTATAGTATATTTTCTGTTTCTTTTGATTACTTAATGAGATTATAAATATTAAAATATATGTCAGTAAGGAATATAAAAAGTATAAAGTTCTATTATCAAATAATTGCTAACAGTCATATAGAAATATAAAGTTAAAATGTATATGTGTATTTTGTAGCTTTTTCTTTTTTATGAATGTCAAGTTGGAAAGTAAAACAGTTCTTAGAATATACCAAAATTATTCCAGCACTGAGACTGCTTTATTACACACACACACACATACAATTATGTTTGCTAACAGCTGTCAAATTGTCAGTATAAAATTAGAAACCAATTTTTGTCTTAGATAATACATAATGTGAAATTAAAATATATAATCCTTATCAAACATAAAAAAACACAGATTGAAGAATCAATTTAAAAAATGTGATAAGCTATGCTAAATAAGGAGTTGTACACCTTTAAACATTGATTTATTTCAATATTGAGAAATGATAAAAATTATACTTTAACCAATTAAGAGTGGCAAAAATTTGGGTCATTCATGGAATTAATAGATTAATATATTTCAAATAAAGTCAATAACTGGTTTAAGGTGTATTAATTTTTCAGTAATTTAAAATGAATTTTTTTTTAAGATCTTAAAAATACTGAAGTCCCTGACCATCAAAATCAAATATAAAAAAGTTACTTCAGCTTTTACATTTAACTAAAATCTATCCAGCAGGGTGGAAATGTTTGCTGATAGAAATAAACATTAATTTGAAAACAGACATTATAACTTCATTTTTATTGCAATTTCTGCAGTCTTTGTGTTTGAATGATAATGAATGTTTGATTTGTAACTGAATTATAATATTTATCAACATATATACCATAATTTTCCATGTATAATATTGCCTTCATCCATAATATGCACACCTAAAATTGTGTTGAAAGTGTGGGAAAATGCTCCTACTCATGCATGATATGCATCCCTTGTTTGGTAATCAAACCCAATAAATTGTACCTTTCCAATTTCATTATGGCCAACGTTTCCTACTCTTATTTAAAAAAAATGGTTTTAAACAGAATAATATTCTAATTTAGTTGTTTGATAATTCTTATTTTATGGTAATTTTATTAAGATTTTTGTAGCTGTGCATAATACGCACCTCTGATTTTGCTCATCATTTTTTTTAGAAAAAAAAATGCGTATTATATATGGGGAATTATGGTATTTCATTTTTTAAAATAGCATGAATTTTCTATTGGAGAATATTATTTTCTTCTTTATTATTTAAGATTAATTAAAAAAAAAAAAAAAAAAAAAAGAAGAAAAAAGGAATTGAAAAATCAACAATTAGTTAATATTTTTATGACATTTTTGTGTGCATTGTGGAAGGTTACCAAAAGAATAAAATACAATAATCACAAGAGGAAAACTGACTTTTTGCTGGAGGAAAAGCTTCAATAATTTTGGAGCAAATCAATGAAAATTATTTTTGTAAAATATTCTGTAATCTTTAAAGAAGGAACACAACACTTTTGTCCTTAATAAAATACCAAACATTTTTAACATGGTGTTTAATTTTTTTAACTGACATAAATGTCCATGCCTACAAATTATTCTTGATTTACTTGAATGATATTGTTTGACAGAAGAAAAGTGCATTTGAATTAGAAAACCATGTGCCTGATTGACAAATTTTGTTAATCAGATCACTTTTTGAGAAAAAGCTGTGGTCCAATTTTGATTCCAAAGATTCTTTTCAACTTGGGAAAGCACTATTCACTCTGCATACTATAAGTAACAAAAGAAGAGGGGATGAAAGTTTGATCAACAACTTTTCAAGATATACATCAAGCCAAAAAAGCAACAGGTTTGAAAGATCAGTAGAGTTTCTGTTTCACTGTGTTACTTAGAGTGAAATAATAAAATAATTTTTAAACATAAATCAATCATAAAACTTGGTCACACTCCTAGAGATTTAGTTCAGACTAAACTATTTTTAAAACTAGACATTTTAGAAATATATAAAATCAGATGGGGGGGGGGCACTAATAAGGATGAGTGAAACAAAATATCTCTGGAGACAATACAATGTTAGCCACTTAGAAAAGAAATAAATACTTTATGGAATCACAAACTTAAATACTTTTTCTCAATATTACAGAATGGTATAAATATTTAATTTATCCACAGCACTTAATTGGTGATATATTGTATGAAGTCTAACTTATAGTATCATTTACTTTATATGTTTTAAAAATATGTAACAACTAGAATGATATTGTATAGGAGATAGCCACTTAAAACTTTTAGGAGATGTCTGGCTAAGCAGGTCAATCTAGCAGTAAAGCATAAATTTAGATTGGGATGTAGATAATGAAATAAAAATAAAAGTTAACTAATGCAAAACAAATAATGTAGTCAATTTTGCTACAAATTGAAACTATGTTTGAATAGATTGACTTAACCTACTTTGAGTTTTTAAATATCATAGCTTAAAAGAAATGCAGCACAAATTATTGAACACATTGCTTGCTTTGTCATGGGTTGTAAGTTAAGGACAAGGTATAGCAGTTATCTTATCAGTGACTGCAAAAAGCAATATGAGAATGAAAAACAAATTGAACTTTTTGCAGTTTCTCAAATATTACAATTTATATTTCTTGGTTATTGTGGATTAGTAAAACATTAAATATGAGAAATTTATCCAAGTTTTAGTTCACTATACAGAATCTTAAACCAGTCATGTTTAATGAAAGAATTAATCATAATTAAATGTTTAATGAAAGAATTAATCATAACCTAAAATGATATTTCAATGTATTAATGAGAAAATTGGTTAAGATAAAAGAAAAAGAGAGATGATAAAGTTTTTGTAACTGTTTTTAGAGGAATGGGTTTCATTAGATTATCTTGCCCAAGAAACATGACTACTGCTATAGTTGCAGTACATGTGATACTCTTCTGTTTCTAATGAATT